TGCTGTCTTCAGTTTAACACAGGGAATATGGATTGACTGCTTCCCCAGTGTCAGAAAAGCTTTTAATTCAAGTTTAATGATCCATTCACCACCTCACCCTAAAGAATAAGTGATCAGTGCATCCATACTGCTACACACATCATTCCAGAAGGCCAAGTAGAAATTAAAATAAAGGAACTATACATTCTTACAGTAAAAGATAAGTATGTCCCAATTATTACTGAGGATTGCTTATACTAAAAAATCATTTGCTAGTTATCTGAAATTCAAATTTAACTTGGTATTCTATATTTTATCTGGCAAGCAAAGCCAGTGGACAAAGGCATACAGTCAAATGTCATAAAAAGGAGGGACAGTGTTTTTCTGGAAATTTGAAAGTGTCGGGCAATTAATAAAAACATTATAAATGCTGATTCAAATCATTATAACTCTAGTAAAAAGAATGTAATTTATCATGATATATAAATTAATGAGTCTAAACTAGTGTAAGCTGAACTTTTGAATGCAAATGATTTCCCGTTTATGTTAAACTCTCAGTAATATTTCATCCTCATTTCTGATTAATCTTTAGTTGATTCTTAATCAGTTTTAACTTCCATGTTCCCAGGTTCTTAACTTAATGATCTATTCAAGAGTTCTTAAAGAGAACCGGGGACTCCATCATGTGAATCCTTTTGTAGAACAGAGAGTCTTTTAGAAATTTGAGGCCTTTTTTTTTTTTTTTTTTTGGTATTTTGACTAATCACTAATTTATTGGGGCTTCTTCCCTCCTGGCTCAGATGGTAAAGAGTTTGCCTACAATGCAGGAGACCTGAGTTCGATCCCTGGGTCGGGAAGATTCCATGGAGGAGGAAATGGTAATCCACTCCAGTATTCTTGCCTGGAAGAGCCTGGCAGAGAATCCCATGGACAGAGGCAAGCTACAGTCCATGGGGTCGCAAAGAGTTGGACACAACTGAGCAACTAACATCATTTCTGATTAATCTTTAGTTGACTCTTAATCAGTTTAGTTGATTCTTAATCAGTTTGAACTTCCATGTTCCCAGGTTCTTAACTTAATGATCTATTCAAGAGTTCTTAAAAAGAACCAGGTAACGATAACCCTATATGCAAAACAGAAAAGGAGACTCAGATGTATAGAACAGACTTGTGGACTCTGGGAGAAGGCGAGGGTGGGATGTTTCAAGAGAACAACATCGAAACATGTATATTATCTAGGGTGAAACAGATCACCAGCCCAGGTTGGGTGCATGAGACAAGTGCTCGGGCCTGGTGCACTGGGAAGACCCAGGAGAGGGAGGTGGGAGGGGGGACTGGGATGGGGAATACATGTAAATCCATGGCTAATTCATTTCAATGTATGACAGAAACCATTGCAATGATGTAAAGTAATTAGCCTCCAACTAATAAAAATAAATGGAAAAAAAAAAAAAGAACCAAGGACCCCATCATGTAAATCCTTTTGTAAAACAAAGAGTCTTTCAGATATTTGAAGGCTTTTTTGTTTTGTTTTTTGTATTTTGACTAATCACTAATTTATCAGTTAGAAGTTCAGACTTCTGTTCAGGTTTTTGAAACCAAGCACATCTAATTTCCTCTTTTATAACTTATTGTTGGAAAAAAGTCACAAATAGCACAAGCAACTCATTTGTCAAAATAAGTAGTTCATGTCTTTCACATAAGGCGATTTTTAAAAATTTTTTAGGCAATTCCCTGGTGATCCAGTGATTAGGACCTGGTGCTTTCACTGCCATGGCCTTGGTTCAATCCCTGGTCTGGGAACTAAGATCCAGTAACCCTACCACACAGCCAAGAAATTTTTTTTTTTTTTTAATTTTAAGAAAAGAGAAGGAAAGGAAGGGAGAAAGGGAGGGCAGAAGTAAGGAACAAAGAAAGGTGGGAAGGAAGGAAGGAAAGAAGATTCCTAAGGGACTCAGGTAGGAAATGGTTCAGGGGAAATTTCGAATCCATATACCCTCCCACTCTCCCAGTATTGCTTGAGAAAACATTGCTCCCAGGGAGCCAGAGCCTTTCAGAATCCTCGGAATGAGGTGGGCTTTGAGAGCTGACACTGTAAAGGTGCAGGGGAAGCTGGCAAGGGAGGCAGCTCTGAGACAGTTATTTGCTCTCAGGTGGGAGATGTGTGTGTACTTGCGGGCACTGGGGCTGCCCATGGGATAGAGACTGTATTCTGGAGCCTTTCAATTCATCATGGTGTGGCTGAAGCCCAAGTGTTCCCTTGAGAATGAAGGACTCTCCACCCTCGTAAAGTGACCTAAGTCGTTCAAAAAGAGAAAAAAATTGCAGGCCTCCAGGGACCAGATCCTACTGTAAGCTCCCAGGATTCATTGGTGAACAAGCCAAGCAGAGGTCCCTGCCTCCTGGAGGTGACATTCACTCAGAGAAGACAGACAACAAATAGGCACCATGAGAAAGGTCAGACAGTGTGTTGGAAGGGGTCGAGTAGTCTGCTGTGGGGAGAAGAGGGCAGGAGGATCTGGATTCGAGGTTGGGAGGAACTGAATTGAAACAGGGAGGCCAAGGTGGGGCTGGGTAGCGGTGACTTTTGAGCCGACTTGAAGGGGATGTGAGTGTGAGTCACTGAGTTCTCTGCGGAAACAGCGTTTCTGTAGAGAGGGAACAGCCCGCAAAAGGCCGAGTGCCTGATGTGTGCAGTTCTCAGCCATGACAATTTTGCCTGCAGGGGACATCTGGTCATATCTGGAGACACTTCCATTTGTCACCATTGGGATGGGGGTGGAGGCTAGTATGGGCATCTCCTGGGTAGAGGCCAGGGGTGTAACTAAACATCCTCAAACGCTCCCACAACAAAGGATGTGCCAGCCCCAGTGTCAGTAGCGCTGAGGTTGAGAAACCCTGTGTTTGAAGAACAGGGAGGAGGCCGGAGGAGCTGGAGGGGAGGCAGTAAGGAGGAGGGAGTCGCACACGAGGTCATCAGTAACGAAGGCTGGGATGGAGAGGGGGGCCCCATCACGGAGGGCCTCAGGCCAGTGTGGACTTTGGCTTTTACTCTAAGAGAAGTGGGGAGCCACTGGCGGGCTAGAGCAGAGGAGGGACATGAGCTGCATTCACAGTTTCAAGAGCGTCGCCCTGGCTGCCAGGTGCAAGATAGACTGAAGGAGGGTAAGGCTGGAATGCGGGGGCTCACGTCTGGTGTGATTATCCAGACAAGAGATGACTGGCCACACACCAATGGATGCAGCTTCGAGACTTCTATGCACAGAACCACCCAGTGTCAGATTTTAGATTTTAGATTTAGGACAACAAGGTGACCTGGAAATTCCATACCATCCCCACTCTTTCCATTACTATATGTCCTATATTTTGCCCTAATATAGATAATATTATATATTATCTATCTGTATAGACAGATAAGAAAGAGCAATCGATATGGTTAAGTCGCCTTAGTTGGATTATGTTTTACACACTAGGATACCTGATACCTGTTTTAGCAATTCGTTTGTAACAAAACAATTTGACATGGGTTAGGCACAATGTAATCCTCTGCTTTACCATGGTCTTGGCAAAAAAAAAAAGTTCACTCTTGCTAACAACTCAATTTTGTGGTATATTTTTCTAAGCAATGTATAACCATAAACATCCTAATTACCTGAAAATGGGATCATGTCCGACTCTTTCTGACCCCATGAACTATAGTCCACCAGGTTCCTCTATCCATGGAATGTCCCAGGCAAGAATACTGGAGTAGGTTGCCATTTCCTTCTTCAGGGATCTTCCCAATCCAGGGATCAAACCCACATCTCCCACATTGCAGGCAGATTCTTAACCATCTGAGCCACCAAGGAAGCCCTGAAAAAGGGATGAGGGGAGCATAAAAGGTCTAGTACCTAATACATGGACGTCTGAATTACTTTCCTCTTTTAGAAATGTATTCAGTTGTTCAAATAGTTTCTCTTCCCTTACCTGATCAGCTGAAGCAAATGTTGAAATACAGCAGAAAATGCCAAAAAAACTTGAATTCATGCATTTGCCCAAAATGCATCCTAGAAGCATCACCTCAGTCATTGCTCCATGTGATCTTCCTAAGGTGCACGTCTGTTGTCCTCTTTGCAGCCAAAGCCAGTGGGAGTTGTAATGACAGCCTGCCGCAGAGGCAGGACCCCACCACTCCTGTCCACAGACAACATTGCATTCCATGTATTGCTGTGATACATGTAGACATCATCTTATGTCTGACCTTGTATTTTTAAAGTCCTGCTAATCCAAGGAAGTGGTAAATTAGTCTCTTTATTAGTGAACAGTGGGCTGTTTTTCAGTCTCTTTATGTTTTTTAAGGAAGTTTTAAAATATAGTTGAATTCAGGACTTTTCCATGTGATCTATCCAAATGGTTCTTGTTCCACCCAGCAGGGCAGAGGTGTTAAGTCAGGATGGAGTTCAGGGAGGCGCACTTGACATTCCAGATGAAACCAGCAGTGTCTTCCAAGATTAATCCATCTTTCACCTTCTAAGACAAGGTTTCTCAAAGTACGGTCCAGGGACCACCTACCTCAAAACTACCCAGGGCTCCTTGGCCCCTCCCCACCCTTCCCTCGAGGGTCGGCCAGGTCTCTCTATTTTCCCAGAGTATCGCAGCACAGTCCGACCCACACTCACAATTGAGAACCCCGACTGCAGGTTACCGTTATTAGAACAAGAAATGACCCTCCATCAGCATCTCAACATCGACTTGTTAAAAATGGCAGACATCATCCAAAAGGAAATTCCGTTTCTAAGGATTTGTTCTCCCCAAGGAAGTGTGTCTCCTTCAAGTGAATGAATTTCCTTCCTGGGAATCTTGGCGGGTGCCTTTTGGCCTTTGTCCTTGGGGGTTTACAGTGGTCCCTGAAGGGGTCGTTTCGCCATGGGTTTGTGGGGTGGGCACACTGGGTCGTCTTTCAGAGAGACTGATCGTAGAGACTCCTTGAAATGGTCATTGCGCTTGTCTCATGTGACCATTTCTGTTTTCCTGTTGCACAGCAAATATGCCAGAGGACTACCCTGATCAGTTTGATGATGTCATGGATTTTATTCAAGCTACCATTAGAAGACTGAAGAGGTCACCAGATAAACAATTGGCCGTGCTTCCTCGGAGAGAGCGGCACCGGCAGGCGGCAGCCGCCAGCCCGGAGAATGCCAGAGGGAAAGGCCGGCGCGGCCAGAGGGGCCGAAATCGGGGCTGCGTGCTCACCGCCGTGCATCTAAACGTCACTGACTTGGGTTTGGGCTACGAAACCAAGGAGGAACTCATTTTCAGGTACTGCAGCGGCTCTTGCGATGCAGCCGAAACAATGTACGACAAAATATTAAAAAACTTATCCAAAAGTAGAAGGCTGGTGAGTGACAAAGTCGGGCAGGCATGTTGCAGACCCATCGCCTTTGATGACGACCTGTCCTTTTTAGATGATAACCTGGTTTACCATATTCTAAGAAAGCATTCCGCTAAAAGGTGTGGATGTATCTGACTCCGGCTCCAGAGACCGCTGTGTATTGCATTCCTGCTACAGTGCAAAGAAAGGGACCAAGGTTCCCAGAAAATGTTTGCCCAGAGTGGAAGATGAGGACCAAGGAGGCGGAGGAGGAGGAAGTGGAGGCGGAGGAGGAGGAAGGCAGCCGTTGTGGGAGCCTGGTGGAGGGAGATCCAGCTGCAAAAAACTGGACAGGAGAGAGAAAAAAAACAGCCGTCCGCGTTCTTCCGGACGGCCGCTGACGTCACCGGAAGCTCAGGGCTGGTGTCCCTGGTTGGGTGTTGCCATCTTTTCATCTGATACAGTCCACCGCCATGGGTCACGGGCGCAGCCGCGGATGCACTTGAAACCAAACCAGTGTATCTCCTGTGGTTTGCTTTCACATGTCTAGAGACACCAGGGAAACGGTCCTCCTGGTGTCATTCCTTGTCATTACGTTTTACTGCTGAAAGCAAGAAAGGTTTATTTTACTGTCACTCAGTGGAGACATACCCCGGAAAGGAGGGGAAAAAAAAAAATCAAAGACCCAGGAGAGATAGTAACCTTTGCTTTAAAGGTTCAGGCCTGAGGTTTACTCCAACCAGCATTTTGGGGAACGGTGGGTGATTGATTTCAAACATGGTGTGTGGGGTGGGAAGAAGTTGGCTAGGAACCAAAAAGGCTGTCCTCATGACTAAAACCAAACCTGAAGGTATTTCCTTTCTGCCCTTGGAAACAGGAAACCAGTGTGGTTTTTCGGCAGCATTCTTGCAGGAGAGCGTGCGGGAAGGCCCCCAGCTGCACCGGGGCGGGGAGGCCGCTGGGCTGTAGGTTTACAGAGAGACAGATGTTACATACACCCCAGCTCCGTTATGCGTGGTCACCAGTGACCAGAGAAGCTACTCGATGCAATGCATCTGTTTCAGATACAGAAATATAGAGAAGATATTTATTGAGAATTAAGTTATTGTTATTTATTACCGTTCACTAATGAGTTTCTCTTTTTTTCCCTTATTTATTAAAGTTTGTTTTCAAAGGTGCCAAAGTATATGTGCTCGCAAAATGCAAAGGAAGGTGGCAAAGGAAATTTTAATTGGGATCAAGGGTCCATGCTTTTCAAAGTATTAAAAAGATTTTCGCTAGGCAAAAATCACTTACTTTACCTTTTTAAGAAAAGCCCTTATGTGATTCCATCCCCCCTCTCCCCACTGGGTCTCAGCATCTTACCTGTTTTTATAGTTTAGAGAAGGAACATGTCAGAAGGAACATTTCTGATGGACCTTCCTTTTCAGGAGCAGCGCATGGAGACCATGGCATTTGCCCTCATTTCTACACGGTTCCCTGTCCCAACAGACAGACCGTGTGCTCCATTTCCTGCGGTGTTTAAGCTCTCACCCTCCCCTCCACATGTATCTATCTGTGATATGCATAACCATATATGTCAAAGGTTAAAGTCCCTTTAATAGGTGGTGCTGGACTCACTGTGGACCTCAGTGTAACAGTTCTGTCAGGTAGCCGGGGTTCTGCCCTGATAGTGGAGACACTTCCCCTATCCTTCCATCCATCCACCGCCTTCTTGAGAAACACATCTAGGCCCAGCACAGCCAAGGAGCGCTGCGGGCCTTCTGGAAGTGGGGTCAGCTTGGTTGCCATACAAGCCACCAAGGGCTACCCCCATACACCTGACTCCTTCTCAGAAGGTGGCCGGGAAGGGTGGACGTGGAAGACGGGCCCTGGCCCAGCCTCGGCACACCTGCCCCACTGCGTGGATGCTGAAAGCCTTTGACAGGGCAAGGACATAGGGTGAGAAAAACTATCTCAGCGACCAGGTCATGGATTTGTCTGGTCACTGCCCCCCTGCTCAATGAACTGGGCCCTATTTTAAGAGCTTGTGACCTATCTCATAAAAGGGATTTTTATCAAAGGGATTATCTATCACTACATCACTGCCTTAGTGGCTATTAGCTCCAAAGTAGTACAGATTTGGCAAATAAATAGCCTACTGGCCTCCCTCAAATAATCATATTAATTTTACAAAGTAATCCAAGAAGCAGCAGTTTCCAGACATCCCTCTGCCACCCCCACCCCCAAGGACCCAAGCTGCCCAGCACTCTGCCCTCTGTCCTTTCTGCTCCCCTTGTAGGACTCGGAAATAGAGGAAAAGGGCCTGCCTCTCACCCTCTCTTGGGGCCCGAGCAGGGGAACTTGCTGAGGAGTGGCCTGCTCAAAATAGGGACAGGTCGAGGCGACCGGTCGTTCATGAAGTGCAATTTGATGCAGTCCCAGATCATCTGTCCAATTCAGAGAGTCCTGGCAGGTCTGGTGGCCAGCGTCCCCAGGGGTCAGCCTCGGCCCCAGCTCCCTGTGGAGAGTCTCTGCCCACAGGGGTGGTAGGATTCAACGGATGCTGACAGCTCCTTCCCAGCATCGCCTACACACCATAAGCAGGTTTTCACTGAAGCTACTTGCTCCGCCAAAGCCACAAAAGGGTAAAGTTTGTGATTTTTCTTTATTGTTGCGATTACCATCTGATCCAGTAAGGAGTGCACTTCTTTGGAAGTTCTGACTTCTCTGATCTGTCTCAGTCGTTTGTGTTATACAACCAAAGTTCTCTACAGACTTTATTTTTGTACAATATTATTTTGTAACTTTTTACAAATAAAAACTCATTTCTATTGCTCTCTCTACTTCTGTGCTATCTCACCGACCCAGGGACCACGGCTGACTCAGGCTAGAAGTCCGTCCCTTTCACCACCACTCAGCCACTGGTTGGTTAGTGACCTTGTCCATCAACTCTCCACAACCAATCAGTACTCAAGTGGGGAAGAACTTGCAAAGTTGTTCGTTCTTTATTCATTCCACAGACACAGACGCTAGATGTGTGACATTGTGCCAGGCGCTGTCCAAGGCACCAAGGATCCAACAGTGGCCATAACAATCGCTGCTCAACAGAGACTGAGCTCTGCTTTCTCCTTGTGTGGTTGATATTTCGTTTGAGGAGAAAGACAATATTCAAAAAAGTATGTAGGGGGTTGTGTGTCAATAAATGAGTCATCATTTATAAAGGATACAAATAGGGTATCATAACAGAAAATAACGGGCCTGCTCAAACGAGAGGTCACATTGAGGCAGGACTTAAGAAATAGGAGTGTCCTGGCAAAACCCTGCGGCAGGCAGGCGCTTGGACGGCGCCACTGCTTTGCACAATCCCGGGTGACGCCCGCGGTTCACGTGGGTTCTCCGCAGCAAAGTAGCAGGATCCGGGGAATTGTGCAAATGGTGGCCCAGGCTTAGTTGTTCTGGTGGCAAGAAAAACACACCGAAGAGAGGAAATGCCATGGCCCGGGGCTGGGGGAGGAGAGCATGCTTCCTCCTCGGATGACACACACCCCGTGCTGTGTCACCCGAGGCCTTGTGACTATTAAAAGGTGGCCTTGTACAGCGCTTCAAGCCCAAAACAAAACCGATGCTCTTAAGACTCTTCTAAGTGGCCACCAGCCTAGACTTTCCAGCGGAGCGCAGTCAGTACAGTGCCGGAAACGCCCTCCCCCTCCGCGCCGGGACAGTGCCTGGTACCCACCCTGGGCGCTTGGCGTCCTGCCGCCAGGGCAACGCTTAGCCCAGGGCGCTTTCTCCATGCTGAATTCTGGTCCAGAGTTCGGAGAGGAATGCAAACACTTTCTTATCTCCTCTCTTTTTTCCATTTCCCCAAAGTGTGTTCCCAGGATGGCAGACCAGGTGAGATATTCCTTAAAAATGGAGTGCTTCTCTGATCAAATCTTTTTGAAGTTAAAAAGAGACGTGTAGGTCTTCCCTAGTGGACTGAGTGGTAGAAAATCCACCTGACAATGCAGCAGACACAGAGTTGATCCCTAACCCCAGAAGATCCCACCAGAAGATGCCACCAGAAGATGCCATCGGACAGCTAAGCCATGCACCGCAGCTATTGAGCCTGTGCTCTAGAACCCAGGAGCCACAACTCCTGAGCCCACGAGATCCAACTGTTGAAGCCCTCCTGCCCTAGAGCCTGAGCTCCACAACAAGGGAAGCCACTGCAATGAGAAGCCCACACACCACAACTACATAGTAGCCCCCCCTTGCCACAACTAGAGAAAAGCCTGTGCAGCAATGAAGATCCAGGAGGCCCAAAAATAAATTTTAAAAGAGAGAGAAATGTAGAACCTATTAGAGCCTTTATTAATAATGAACATTGTGACCACCCAGGAGTAGCATGGAGTATGCAGATTTCCCCAGATGGACCATGAAAATGTCTATGGCATTGTTTGCTTTCTCTTAATATCTGTTGTCCACCCCTTGAAACCACCTTGGGCCATGTTGTCTGCTCCTGTAAACATGGAGATGAGCCGAGAGGGGGACTGGAGATTTGTAAAAAGGCAGAAACACATGGGGAAACATCAGGGGAGCTCCCCATGTGTACATGTACACACACACACACACACACACACACACACACACATATTCTGGACATTTGGGCATTGTGGGTTTCTTGTTCAGCATGATTAACCAGTGGTCAGCTTTGGAAGTTCCATTCAACCAAGAAAGAGAGTATATGTTGAAAGCTGGGAAATTCTTAGCAGCAATGAGAAAAGCAACTTTCACCATGCTTACCACACATGCTCACTGAACTCAAGTTGTTAGGAACCACCAATGCTTTGGCTGGCCCATAGTCTGGAGTTGGGGGGTGGATGTCCCCTCATGGTGGTCCTCAGAGGAGTGTGGCTCTTGTTGGGCATCTGAGTCCCTACTGCTGAGGATGGTGTGAGAGCACAGGGTCAGAACCTTGGACACCAGGCTTGGATGGTCTCATGGAGCTTGTGCCCACCATCATCTCAGGCTGGTTTTCTCCTGTGCATCTGATGCCAAAGTAACACTTTAAAAGAACTTTTAAAAGAATCAGTCCACTCACAAAGTAAAGATGGGAAATCGGAATTCTGTTAACCTAAGTCTCAAAAACAGAAAGCTCCCTCCCCTTGACACACAGAGACCCTCTTGGGCCACAGCTGATTTGCTGCCTGACCTCAGCATCACAGGGAGGAGGGAGTCCACCCCTCATACCACCCACCTTCGCTTCTCAGAGCATAGCAGCAGGGAGGGGATGAAAGTGTCAGCCACAGGCCCCAAGTGTTTTTCCACCAGGTAAGGAAGTGTCTGAGCCCCAAATGTCTCCTTGAGATGCATCTTTGTTTAAAAAGGTGTTACTGTAATCCCAAGCAATAGTTTGACTTGACTCTCATCTCCCCACACAACCTCCTGAATGAAATCAAATCCAGATGCTGCCACGTCATCCCTGAAAATAAATAGAGAGTTGGGAAAACAAGAGGAAAGCATCCACTTACTCATATGTGGTCATTAATATGCTGCCACGTCCCGGCCCCATGGCAGGTGTGGAGAACAATGATGGGAGTGCAGTCGGGGTGGAGGATATGTGGTGACAGGTGCCTGAAAAGTGCCAGAACCCCTCCAAGAGTAGCAGGTGGGAAGAAAACCTGGGGAAAAAAGTCAGAGACAACTACACAGTAGGGTTCCCAGATAACTTTAATTTCAGATAAACATGCCTAATTTCTTAGTATAACTATGTCTCATGCAACATTTGGGGCATGTGCTATTTGGGACATGACTATTAAAATGATTACTCATTGTTTATCTGAAGTTAACGGGGCATCCTATATTTTAATTTGCTAAATCTGGTAGCAAAGAAGCAACTTTCAAGTTGGGACTTGCATGTGAGCGGGAATCTTTTAGGTAGACAGAGGCAGAGGGCAGGGGTGGGATGAGGGACAGAGTCATTCCAGATGGAAGCAACAGGGCAACCCAAAAGGTTGGAAGGGCACTGTGCATTCAGGAAGCAGCAGGCAGTGTGGTGGGCTGGGAGCTGACTTCCTCATCACACAGGGCACCTCAGACACTGTGCCTAAAGGCCATGAGATGTTCAGAGATCCAAAAATGGCTTAAATTTTAATATTTTTAAAATCAGAAGAAAAACACTGTAACAATAACAAATACAGAATAACAAATTCAGCCTGGATTATATTCATCTGTATATATTAACACAATCACGTGATTTGTCATATTTTTTTATGGAGAAGAGATCCCCAAAGGCAAAAGGCCCTCTGACCCACAAAAGCTGTGATTCAACTCTGAGTGCATTGCCAGCAACAACCTGTGCAGGTCCTCTACCCAAAGGTTTTTTCTAGTTTTCCCCATCCTATTCAATCATTAAAGCTAATCTTGAACTATAAAATAAACAAACAAAAAACTTTCTTCTCACCCTTAAAGTTAGATTGTCTTCTCAGGATATTTGCATTTACTTCCTGTTCAAGGAAACAAACCTAAGCGTGGCCATTAACCTTCTAAGACTCACTCACTTTTCTTGAGAAAGGACATGAACCAGGACATGAGGGGATGAGAGATATAAGAACAGTTCAGACAGAAGAGCGGATGGTGAGGAAGGCAGAGAGAAGACTTTAGGCCCCAGGAGATCGGAGAACCAGCTGAGGTGGGCATGACAAACAAGATGAGGTTTTCAAATATGCGGAAAAGATCCTTTTAACTTGGGGAATTCTTTAAATTGGGACACGTAGGGGATTTTAACACACTTCTTGTACACGGGCCTCATTCATTCAATTAATTCGTATCTATCTCCTAGCAGAGGAGGACATAAGGATATAAAGATAAATCCCTTAAGGGCATCCAAGATTAGAGGGACAGACATAAGAATATTAAAGTACAAAGTGGTGGGACTTCTCTGATGGTCCAGTGCCTAAGACTCTGCACTCCCAAAGCAGGGGGCCTGGGTTCGACCCCTGGTCAGGGAACTAGATCCCACATGCTACAACTAAGACCCAGCACAGCCAAAAAAATAAGTAAACAAATATCTTTTAAAAAATACCAAGTGATGAGGGCAGCAATGAAGAGACACAGTGTGTTAAGGGAGGTTAGAGGAATAATAAACCCAGCTGAGGCTGTGGGGTGGATAAAGGTATCAAGGATGGCATCCTGGAGGTGGATGCCTGACAGATGGTTAAAGGAGAGAAGGAATTTCCCAGACTGGAGTTGAAGAAAAGAGGGTATTTCAGGCAGCAGGGACTTGAGAGCTAAGCCAGGACTAGAGATGGCCGGGTGTGCTGTTGGCTTAAAAAGGTAGAGCTTTGGAGACTTGATGGGATCCAGCAGGAGACAGGAGGGAGCAGAGAGGGTGGGTGTGTGAGGGGTGTGGGGTGGGGTCAGGAGCTCTCACTCTGCTGACTCCAGCTCCGTATCCATCCCTGGGGAAAGGATCACTTTTGATCTTTTTGATCTTCGAACCTGACCTCTCCCTCTCAGACCCTCTGTCCCCCACCCCCAGTCCCTCTGCTGTCCCATCCTCTCAAAGCCAGTCTGCACTGCCTTCCTTCTCCCACAGAAAGCCTCTCATACCCCAGGGGACTGAAAAGGCTCCCAGATCAGCATTTCTCCAACCGTCTAGTTAACACTAGGGAAGCATTCAGGGAGGAAAGGGTCCCTTGATTTTAAAAACTGGAGAAATGCTGCATATTTTGATTCCATCTCAGGAAGAGACAGTTCATGCTATGTATCAATCAAGGCCTGTTCACTGTTGTTTAACTCAGCGCCTCACCATCCTATTTGACCATGGATCGCATGCTGACATCTAATGTA